TGATGCTTTTTATAAAGTATAATCTTGCTCCAACTGGCAGAGTAGTCCAATTCTAGGCAGCAATGGAACACCAAGCCTGCTTGTTCATAAACCACATATTGCGTTATAATTAGTACAGTAGTGAGACATTTTGTTCTTCAGTGGAAGATGCTCTTCAGAGCGCTCCCTTCAGGCTTCACTGATTTCTTACTCTAAGGAAGCTTAGTTTACAAGCCACTGTGTCCTGTTCTAACCTTCCTCCTCCACCGTGAAAGCAGCTGGTCAGCCTCTAGTTTTACATATTTATTTCAATATTCCTGATCTGGAGGTGTGTCTGTTCTTTGCATTCTCCTTTGAACTGGTCGTTAACACCTGGCTTGCTCCCTCATTATGAGTTAAATAAGATGCTCATTTGCTATCCCAAAGACATGCTATTGCTTTTTTTTTAAATTACTCTTTAAAAAAGAGCATAATTATATTAATTATATTAAAATTTTACAGCCTAGGGCAGGCTGCCAACTGCAACACTGGCATTCCATATGGGTAACCATTCACATACCCACTCAAATAGAGAGTTGAAGACAGCAAATTGCTGTAGTTCAAACAGCTCCCAGATGATCCACCTGGGAAAGCAGTGGAAGACCAGAAGCTCTTGGCTTTTGGCTTCACTGAACTCACAGATGGAGAATCTCCCCGTCTCTCTGCTAACTCTGCCTTACAAATACATCTTTCTTTTTAAAGCCCACAATCTAATTAATGAGATACTCAAAATTGCAAGTAGTAATTTTTAGACATTAGGAAGATTCCCACCTTCTTTCTTTCCCCTACTGCTTTACTAAAACAAGTGAGCCCCAACCCTCGTTGCCTCAGAGGAGACTATGAGGTGAGGCAAACAAAGCACCAGTAAGTGAAGGAAGGAGTTTGGAAAGCTGGATTTAGTTTTTCTAAAGCTTAACTGCATGGAAGAATTACAGAAGAGGAGCAGGAGAGGACCTGAGTTTCATAGAGCTGAGAGAGATGGGATTTTCCTTCTACAAGACAACATACTCCTGGCTAAAGGAAGAAGAGCCAAGAGTGGCAGACAGTCCCTGAGGGGTCAGGCTATGGGGAAAGGAGAGCTGGACCCCACACGTCAGGAACAAGAGCAAGGCAAGCTGGAGCATCCTAAAGATAGCATCCCTGTAGGTAAGTGAACTGAAGGCCCTTGACAGTGAGGTGGGAGAGTGCGTGCACACAGGCGTGTGTGTAGTAATTGGGCCTATATACTTACTGGGGCTCTTTACATTCTCAGATCTTGAGTCAAGAGCTAAGTTGAAAACTGATATGCTCATTTAGATGTAAGGAGGCAGCAAACAAGCAGGAGCCAAGGTCACCAGCCCTGCTGCAGCCCCAACTGCACCCAACAACCTCTTCCCTTTCCGTGCAGTGGAAAACCACAGCCTCAGTGAAACCACTGCTTTGCACTACAGCTGGTCAAAAAATAACCAAAGAGGCTGTGGCTATGTCCTCACAATGACCTTTTAGCTCGTTAAAGTGTCATTGTAATAAAACACAATGACCAATAGTTCATTATATTATCACTGTAATAAAATTACCACGCCGACACTCCAGTCTCATCATGTACCTGATGCCAAGACACCTCTGAGATTTCAGAAACAGGGAATGGAAAAGGGAGGCACTCAAAACCCTGGACTGAACCCTGCCTCTTACAAGTATTTTAACCAAACCTCAATGCGAGACACCATCTGTTACACCCCCGATCGTACAAGGAACTGGAGCTGAGCTTCATTGTGTGCAGTTCTCCACTGGGCATGCCCACACCCCTTCTTGAGTACTTTCACTGTGCATGCAAATAAATCTTGCTTGTCTGCTTTCACCTAAATCTTATTCTTGAGCTTTTTTTCCTTACATCAGGAACCCAGCCACAATTTGTGTTGTGGCACTATAGCTTAATAGTGAGAAAAGAACAGAACCTACAGAATGCATGAGCTATGGTACAAGGGAGTGTTTCTGTGCTCATCTTTCAGTTGAGCCAGGGTACATAATTTTCCTATCACTTTACTGTGACATGGATGGGGGGAAATAATGCAAAAACATCGATTGCATGGGCATGAAAAAGAAGTAGCATTTAGCTCTGTTAACCTAGTTGTACAAGAAATCTGTTCTTTTTCTTTTACAGTGTTACCAAAAAGTAGCAGATAAGGCTTGAAGCACCTTAGTTTTTTGGCTCAATTCTAAAATGGCCAAATTCGTTGAGAATTCTTCCTATTTAATGACCTAGGGAAACTGAAGCTGTGATGGAGACAGAGCCTAGACCCTCCGCCAGCCATGTCAGAGCAGTAAGCAGGAAGGACTGTTTTTCAAGATTTCACATCCCACTTTGAGTGGTTTTGTAATTTACTCACTAGTAGTTTATGTTCTGTGAAATTCACACTTGTTTTTATGTTAAAATGCATAAATCCCAGCCCAAATGACTGACTGCAGATCACTCCTTGTAAGGGTGTGACTATTACTTTGTAAAGTGTAATTTGTTCCTGCTAGTCCTAGTACAAAAGTTAATTTTTAAAAATGCAAGAACTGTGAAACAGTCATTTGCAGAATCAACCAGAAGATACAAAGTGCCGAGAAACTTACTCAAAATAGAAGTGCAATGTCAAATAATTCTCTTTATTGCTTTATTGCTCTGAAATTAGTAACAGCATTTCACTTTAGGAACTTTTAACATTAAGGTGTTCTTTTTAAAGCATGTCTACCTCCAAGCAGCCTTTACATGCACTTGGGGAAGATGAGTCTTTTAGGAGAGCTACGGCTTAACCCACAGGAAGTTCCCTAAAAGTGCTTGTAATAGCCGCTCTACTGAGGCAGCCAATCAGGGAGTTTCCTAAAGCTAGGGTAACTGCAGAGAATGGAGCCTTATTTGCTGACAATAAATTCATGCTTTTATCTGGTTACATGTATTTCTGCGTATCTGCTTTACTCACTGTGCCTAAAGTGGCTGCAGAAGTTTTTTCTCTGTACAGCCCAATTTTGTACCACTGAAACGCAATTTTGAAGGTCTCAGGGCAGAACCCACAGCCCTGAGCTAGTGTTTCCCTTTACCATTGCTTGAAGGAGCAAAGTATTCTTTATTGTTCAACTGAAAATGAGTGCTTGGTGTTCTTCCTTCCCAACATAATACAGTCCCCCAAACAGAACACTGATAATGCAAAAATGGAAGCGATCTGGTTACTGTACCAAAAACCACTTGTGGGCTAGATGTTGGGCCCAGCAATTCAGAACACACAGCTTCCACATTAGAGCTTTGGGATTCAACACCCAGCCCTGCCTCTAACTTTTGCCTTCAGCTTCCATTTCAGACAGTTGTGGAGTGAGCCAGGGGGTGGGGACTCTTTTCCCATCTCTGTCTCTCAAGTTCAAACTTCAGAGGAGTGTTAGCATCGCGGTATGGCAAGTTAGGCCTCCAACTGTAACACTAGTATCCCATATGGGTGTCAGTTAACGTCCTACCTGCTCCATTTCCAATCCAGCTCCCTGCTGATGTGCTTGGGAAAACAGTGGAAGATGGCCAGGAGCTCCTGGTTGTGGGCTGGCCCAGTCCCCAGCCATTGAACCCATTTGGTGAGTGAATCAGTGAACAGAAGATTCTGTGTCTCTCCTGTCTCTATAATTCTGCCTTTCAAGTAAATAATCTTTTAAAAATTTTTATTGTTGGGCCTAGCAGCTAAAGTCCTTGTCTTGGACGTGCAAGGATCCCATTTGGGTGCTGGTTCCAATCCCAGCAGCTGCACTTCCCATCCAGCTCCCTGCTTGTGGCTTGGGAAAGCAGTTGAGGACAGCCCAAAGCCTTGGGACCCTGCACCCATGTGGGAGACCTGGAGTTCCTGGCTCCTGGCTTTGGATCGGCATAGCATCGGCCATTGTGGTAACTTGGGGAGTGAATCATCGCACAGAAGATCTTCCTCTCTGCCTCTCCTCCTCTCTGTATATCTGCCTTTCCAATAAAAATTTAAAAAATAAATCTTAAGGGCCCAGTGCAGTGGTGCAAGTGGTCAAGGTCCTCGCCTTGCACGCCCGGGATCCCATATGGGCGCCGGTTTTAATCCCAGCAGCCCCGCTTCCCTTCCAGCTCCCTGCCTGTGGCCTGGGAGAGCAGTCGAGGACGGCCCAGGGCTTTGGGACCCTGCACCCGCGTGGGAGACCCGGAAGAGGCTCCTGGCTTCAGATCGTCATAGCATCGGCTGTTGTGCTCACTTGGGGAGTGAATCATCGGACGGAAGATCTTCCTCTCTGTCTCTCCTTTCTGTGTATCTGCCTTTCCAATAAAAAAATAATAAAAATAAAATCTTATAAAAACTAAATCTTAAAATTTTATTACTTATATTTATAAATACACATATGTATATGCTTGATTTTAATTATTTTTTGCTAAAAATAGGGTGCAATATATAGGAAGAGAGAACAGAGGGAGGGAGTGGTCTGCCAATTTTTTTTTCTTCTAAAATATTTAACAAGGTGCCATTCAAGAAACTGCTTAGGTGGAACCTGAAGTCAAAATCCTAGTTCCCTATGTGAGGTCTAAACCTGACTTTAGAAAAGTTGTAGTTCAATGGCAATGACTTGTTGGAAAACATCAGACGCTAGGCTGAGGAAGGGACAGGGCTTGTCTTAAGTTGTCCTGGGTGGCAATGGAGGGCTGTTGTGGAGGGTGTGGTGCACAGAATTTTGTTAAATCCTTTAACGCAGCACTTTCATACAACCTTTCAGTCTTTGTGTTATTAGAACCTTTGCTATCTCCAATGTGCATTCATTCCCCCCAAGGAAGCAGGTTTTCAGAGTTCAAGTGGATTACAAGGACTGTTTACAAATGCCATGGCAACAGTCATTTCTAAGTAACCACATGCTTTTTGGTAAGACATTGAGACCATCTAATATATTTTGATTTTTCAAGTCAGACCTCATCCCATAGGTTGTTAGTTATAATTCTTAGAAGAATTGTAATTCTACAGAATGTTTTCTTGGACATATTTATTTAAACACAGATTTAACATTAATAGACGCTACATGGTAACTAATAACTAAACATCAAACTCTAGTTCCCACTTTACAGGAAGAAAAACAGAGAAAAAAAAAACTGATTTGTCCATGGTTAGCCAGGAGTGAAACCTGTATTTCTGCTCCTGATGTAGGAGTTCTATGCTACATTACACTGCATCTTCAGCCCTCAGGGAACAGAATCCTAGAAACTTGTTTAAGCAAAATGTGTCCCAAATTACACTCTAACCAGAGAAACCAATTGGATAATTTATCAAGAGTAAAAATAACAGAATGGTCTGCACAAATGTCCAAGGAATTTCAAATAAATCCATTATAAAAAATATCCCTCTGGCCAAACAAATAAGGTTCCAACTCAGTGTCATTCACACAACAGTTCACCATTTATCTTAATGTGAGGACTGCATTTCTGGTTGCATCACGAATACCACAAGTTCTCCCCAAAGACTTTAAGACAGGTTAATCAGAATTGCTCAATTATTTTAAGAGTAAGATTTTAAGAGAAACCAAACTTGAGAACTCAAGTACCATCTATTAAGTGATAAGGCCAACTGAACAAAATGTTACTGAACATTCCACCCGGTGGATATTCTTTTTACACAAATCCTGAGTTGTCTCACGTCTGTAACTTGACACCTAAAACCCACATGACAAGCAAGCTACCAGCAGTCAGTCTCGCCCACTGTTTCTATCACATGTTGCTACATTTCTGTGTGTAGCTGCATGTGCCAGGTATTTGTGCTAACACAGGACATTGTGTGAGCAGTGGTTCCGTCACACAAGCACTTCACCTTCACCTAGTGATTTTCCAGGGTCACGACTGGAAAGTGGAGGAGCCTGCCCTTCCTCCCCACTTGCATTACATGCAGGCTTAGTGCCTTGCTAAGAAAGCCCTTTCTGAGCAAAGGAATACATCATCTCTTTCCAAAAATAGTTTTTCCATCAAAATTACTTTTCAGAATATGAGTCACTAAAAATTTGGATAGGGCAGGGAGCTGTAAACCATTACCAGACATAGGTGACATGTAGTGCAGCAAGCAGGCTAAACAAGCAGGTAAATATGTGTGCATATTATGTACATACATAGGTATGTGTGTACACATATGTATACATATATATGTACAGGTGTGTGCATATATGTATACACACATGTACATACTTCTTAGGGCTGGCATTTGGTCATACGGTCATTATCACACCCATGTACGGCATCAGAGTGCCCGAGTTTAATCCCCGATTCTAGTTCTAGATTCCTGTTTCCTGCTAATGTATACCATGGGAGACAATGAGAATGGCCCAAGTAAGTAAATCCCGCCATCCATCTGGCAGATCTGGTTAGGATGAGCTAAGTTCCTGGATGCTGACCATGAATTCTGTGCAGCCCTGGGCAGTGAACCAGTGGATGAGTGCTCTTGTCTCTGGCTTTGAAAGACAATACAAACCACCCCCCAAACCACATAAACTTTCAAGTGGTAAGCTAGAAAAAATGTTAATTAAAAATGTTTTCTGATAAATTTAGGATCTCTGAATAAAGGAATGATGAGCAACTGAACTTCTGAAAAAAAGAAATGTATTCTAATTATATGCATTAATTCATAGGCATGCTCCTAGTAACTGTTTAAGAGGTCTTGGTATAAAACCCATAATGAGGAACATTTTATAGCAGTTACAAAAATTTAGTGCTGGAAATCATCCAACATTAGTGGGGGAAACTCACTCGCATTTCATTTCACTTTACTCTTCATCCTCACAGTCAGAGCAGGATCACACTGCTGTATCAGCACAGTGTCGTTGCTGCAGAAGCCACAGGACAGCACTAAACTGCCCACACAAGCCAGCACCAGACTCGCTCTCCGACAGCACGATGTCCGGCTCGCAGCAGCTTTCGTCTGGCACTGGGTACAGTTTCTCCTAAAAAAAGAGGAAAGCTGCTTCTTCCTCCACATCTCAGCAATGTCCCAGAATGATACCAAGAGCTGAATATAATAAAGCACAGAAAATGCAGATACAGATTTCAAATGCTTACACACCAACAACTAGGTGAAATCAGCATACTTAACAGTGGGGCAGGAGATTTAAAAAAAATACTAGGGAAAAAAGAAAACCAACTATCCAGGTCCCGATTTTGAGCTGAGTCTTATCAAATTCTACTTGGAATGATAGCTTGCTCATTTTTACTACTCGGTATTCACAATGAATAATATAGAAAGAGCTAGTTGGCTTATCAGAAAACACCAAATGTTGAAGGTTAAAAAAACTCATTCATTTTATAATTAAGACGTGACCCAGATGACAGATGCTACAATGAAGTATTATTGCCAGTAAAGAAAAAGTGAAAATAATTTCTATCAGCAAAATCCTTTCATAAGTACTGTTAATGTTATGCTAGTCAGAACTCAAATTCTTAATACAGATTTTTACTGCTGGAGGGACCTAGAAATATCTAATCCAAACTCAATGACAGATGGGAAATGTGCAGCTAGAGAATGAAGTTGGGCAAAAAAGCTTTGAGGTAATGGAAGAAGATGGCATACCCTTGGCACCAACACACGAAATCACTCCTTAGCTCCTAAGACACAGAGGTGCTTATAATAGATATTGGACCAGGGACACTTTAAACATTATTTCCTTTTTGTTGGGGGGTAATGGTTTAAGAAAGGTTTATGGCAACAATTAATTTTTTTGATACAAGTATTTATTGGAAAAACTACTTTATAAAAAATTAGAATGCACAGAGAAAATAAGGCACCACAAAGAGTTTAGTCTATTTTCCTAAAAGGATGTTTGTATACAAATTAAAAACGATCATTTCCTTTTTAAGCGGAACAGCAGCGGTGCAGGTTTTGCTACCTAGAGGAAGGTGCTGCCGTAGCCTTAAGTGCTAGCCAGGGGGACACACTGCCAAGAAGTACACACACTGGTAGCCAATCAGAGTTGAGCTGGCGGTGGTGCTGACAGTGGTTCAGGGGACCGATGTGTTACCCACCAGACAGGAAGACCAAATTGGGGAGAGAAAAGCGAAAGGTCGCAGTGACGCTTGCTGGCTGCTGGAACTCAATCAGATTCTCCTCCACAGAGCAGTGAGTGCTCCTGGCTTCCTCCGCAGATGCTGGCCAGGGGCTCTGAGCTGGCCCCTCCAGAGAACCTCTCACTACCAGAGAACTTTGAAAACCTTGGCATAGACAATAGCGTGGACAAAGCCTCTGAGGCTCTTTACCAGTGCCTAGCTGTTGGACTCCTGACAGCTAGGAATCCTCATATTTTATATCTGCAGGCCCTGAAAAAATACATAGTAACAAAAAAAATCATCTCTCTGTATTAGGAACATCTGGCTGCTTCAATACATTTCACAGGACTCTCCTCAGATCTGCAAGCCCACCGAGCACAAAGCAAGCCACTCAGGCCAAACTGTGATGTAACCACCATGTCTTCCAACCTTAGTGACCCCTTCAGGCACCTCCAGTCACTGTTCACGTTATAAGAAGTTATCTTTTCAGGAAATCAATTTGTTCTAGTCTACTGAACAAAACCAGAGCATATTCAATACAGCTGAGAAACTTGCATTCATTCAGCTTCTGTCACTACCGATGTTAAATCGCTTCATTTTTTGTGTTGGTAACTGTGTGTGCAAAATCAGAAAGCGTGTGCTGGGTTGTGGAAGTCACTCTACACTGACCAGACTAAAGGGTTCACAGAACTCAGCTTGAGCAGCCGGGAGATAGTGCTTGTCATCAGAAACCCTACAGGAGAAGCTATGGCTTCATGGAAAAACATAAGCCACGCAGGACGGAACATTTAAACAAGTATGATTCCACAGACAACATGTTACACTAGATACGTGAGGTGATACTGAGGGCTTAAACTAGTCCCTGGATATTGCTACTTTCTTTACAGAAAATGAGAACTCGAGCTTTCCAAGGATTTTGGTTCAAATCCTGAAATCTATAGGAGGTCAATTAAAATGAGAACTCGACTTTTTAGAGCAGTAACTCTTGTTGCTGACATTAGTGCAAGGCAGTAGTGATTCTCATGTTTAATATATTACATATAATACTATAAAAATAGGCAGGAGGTTTAAGGTAAGTCCATTATTACTAAGTCTTTGAACTTTAGCAATCTAACTGTGGGCTTATCAATGTCAAACAAATTGCAGAAAAGGCCCATGAAAGTACAACAAGGAAGTATGCTGACAAGACAGCTATTGCCACACACCACAGGCACTTCAAATGAACATGTCTGAAAATGCAGATTTCTGAGGAAAACCTGAGTATGAAGCAGGAAGTGATCTTTCCAAGAACATTCACTGGTGGCCTTTACATCTTTCCCATGACCTTTTTGTTTTGTTTTGTTTTGTTTTTCCTTTTTGCATTTATCAGGAACAGGACAAGGAAAGGCACAGTTGTGGCCAGACAGTTATTTTGAACAAATGAGAGGACGCTATACCCCTGCATCAGTACTTCGTGGCTGAAAACCCTCCCTCCGAAGGCTACCCATGTCGAAGCGGGTGGAGACTTCACAGCGCACTAATAATGTGTCATCCTTTATAAAGGTCCTTTGTCTTAAGGCTTCAAGGTGCATGAAAGTTACGTAGCCAAAACCTTTTGGGTTCCGTGGGATTGTGGGCCGCTGGAAGGCAAGTAACTCTGGCTTGGCATCCATTATCTCCTCATGGTTTTGCCTTGTTGGTGCTTCAGACTGATCAAGAATTGTAAGGCGTATTGTGCCCTGGAAGGGCCAGGGAAGGTGGCTGTCATACTCTCCTTGCATCGTGTGGACAAAGAGGGATATGTAGTTGGCACAGCGCTGAGCAGTTGGTAACTGAAGGTGCAGGCGCATGCAGAGTTTGTATCCAGGTTTGCCTGTGTAGAATCCAGGGCTATGAATAACAACAGGTTTCTCCTCTTCTTGGGATTTGAGGTGCATCCCAAAGTTGCCAATCTTCCAGATGTAAATCCCATTGCACTGCTGGGCTTCAATTTCAGCAACTTTGTCCTCGAGGGTTCGAATGGTTCGTTTGAGCTCACTCACATACATGCTCTGAGTTTCCATTTTAGCAGTTAGCTCTCTAATTTGATGGTCTTGTCTTACCAGCCGCCCTTCTAACTGCTGAATGGTTTCCTGGAAATTGTGGCTCTCTGGGTAGCCAGAGGGAACCCGGGGCTGGGAGGGAATGTCATACTGAGGCACATCACGTGGTGGCATGGGAGTTAAAGCAAGGTTTAAACTGTGCACAGCCTGAGCCAACATCCTCATGTGCAACTGGGTTTTCTCTTGTAGGTGGCGTGCCAGGTGATTCCTCTGCATCTAAAAGTCAAGCACAAGCCTTAGGTTGGGAATAGACACTATGAAAAGTAGGGAAGACTTAGGCAAAAAGAAGGGGTTCAAAAAACCATGCCCACTGCCTTGACTGCTTTACAACTTCTCTTTGCCTTCCTCCGATTCTACCTATGGAGCTGATCCTCTCTTAGTTCAATGAAAAGCTCTGGTGATCTGATGACTAGTGTGTCAGCTTTCATTCAGCGAAACTATTCCTACATACAGCAATATCAGAATCCACACCCAACTTTCCTGACTCAGAAACGACTGCTTGTCCAAGATCAGTGAACGAAGGCATCTAACTCTGAACACTCCGAGGTCTGCTTCACTCTCCGCCCCCTTTGTCATCTTCAAGTACTCCCTTTATCTAACCTTTCCCTCTTGAGAATAATCACTAAAATCAACTCCATTAAAAAAAAAGCTGTCAAACTTGTCAAACTTCTCAACTGTATTTTCTCCCTCTTTACTTAAAAGCAGGGGTACTCATAATGCCCCCAATTCTTCATGTAAAAGCATTGCAAACTGGAATCTCTACTGTTTCTACAGTATTTGAAGGTCAGCAAGAACAGCTCCTTACTTGAAAAATGCTCATGATGCAATTTTTTATTATAAATCCTTAATAGATTAGAAAGGAAACAAATTTGCTATTATCTCACCCACCTTTCAATAACATTGAAGCCTTTTTCTCTAATCACATAATTTTTTTCCACAAACTGCTGTCTTATCACTTTGCTCATTTCATCTAATTGTTTCTATGTTTATTATAAACAAGTTAGAAAAAAAAAAGTATAATGGAAAAGCGAAAGGATAACCGTGCCCTCCTGTTTGTCATAGACAATGAGCCACACCAGAACCCGACTAAGTCCTGAAACTGCTGAAGAACATCACGTGCTCCTGGCCCAGTCGGTCTGGTTGCTTTGTCCATCCACGACTCCTGCCTTGGTGTGCTTTTCTATGCCCTCCGTGCAATCACAATCACACCTTGCATTATCATCACAAATTAGTTTCCCAAATCAATATTCTTCATCTCAATTGCTCTTCAGAGTTAAAGACCATCCACGTAATGCCCACCAGGCATCTCCTCCTGGGTGTGTGACAGCCGGGTGACAGCCACTCAGCACCGTGGACAGGGACTCGAAGATTTTGCTCCCAATCACTGCTTTCTGTGTTCATCGAGGGCGGTAAGACCAAAGACCAAGAGTTTTCTAGATGCCTGTGGTGAGCACAGAAAACACTGGAAGCCTTGATCACTGCTCAGTGGGCCTTTGCTCTGCTCAAAGCATCCACAGGACTCCATATTACACAACTCATCAGTTTTACAAATATTTATATTTTTGTTGGTATTCCCCGCTAGACTACCTAACTAAATATTTTTGACTTGTATTCAAGAATTAAAAGAAAACATACTTACCTTTTCATGGCATCCAAAAGTACTGAACGTGCATGGAATTGGCGCAGTAGGGCAGTCTAGATCATAATGATTAGGCATCTAAAATCAGAACAAAGGCTAAGGAATGTTTTTACCTGCACATTATAAGGAAGATTACATTTCATAGAAGCAAAACTACACACTGCCTATAGCTGCTTCTGCGCTCACTGCAGAGCTGAGTAGTTGTGACAGAAATGGAACTCATAATGTTTAACATTTGCATCTAAAAGTCACAAATTACTCAAAATTCACTTCAAGAAAATCAATGTTCCTACTGCTGGGAACTGGCACCCTCTAGTGGCACTTTAGAGCAAAAACCACTCTGACAATGGCAACTGCAAACAACCTTCGCCCTCTGCTCTAGGCCACTCAATAACTCACTTTACTGAAAGCACTGAAGCCACAGATTGTATTCACTGCCTTCCACACGACTACCTTTAATAAATCATTTTACTTTTTGTTAATCCAAGCACATTTTAGTTATACTAGAGAAACTCAGGTATAAGAAATGTACTCTAAGCAATTTAATAAAACCTCTGAAGAAACTCAGCCTTGGGGCTGGTATTGTGGTGTAACACATTAAGCCTCTGCCAGCAGTGCTAGCATGCTATATCGACACTGACTCAAGTCCAGCTGTTCCAACTCCCATCCAACTCTCTGTTCTGCTTATGCGCTTGGGAAAGCTGTGGAGGACTGCCTGGGCCCTTGGGCCCTTGCACCCACGTAGAGACTTGGAAGAAGCTCTGGACTTATGATTTTAGCTTGGCACAGGCATGGTTGTTTTGGTCATTAGCAGAGTGAACCATCATGGGAAATTCTCTCTGTCTCTCCTGTCTAATTCTGGCTCTCAAATAAATTCAAAATACATCTTTAAAAAGGTCTCAGCCTTAAGGTGAAGTCCATCACACAGGATCGTGTTCTTGGAGAGTTTTGCTGCATTTGCTTTTAGTGCTGGCATTCTGGTGTAGTGGGTTTGTCTACAGCATGCAATGTCTGCATCCCACGTGAGCACAGGTTTGTGTCCTAGCCACTGTGCTTTTGATCCAATTCCTGTTAATACACCCAGGGAAGTACTGAAAGATGGACAAGTGCTTGTGTGCCTGCTCCCCCATGGAAGACCCAAACAATGTTCTGAGCTCCTGGCTTGCACTGGGCCCAACCCCAATGTTAAAGCCACTTGGGAGGTGAACCAGTAAAAGTGGAACATCCACGACTCAAATGAACATCCCTATGGGATGATGGGTGTTGTAGGCAGTGGTTTAGCTTGCTGTATACCAGATCCAAACCCTTGATATTTCACTCATTGGTTCTTACTCAGATGATCTCAACAGCCAAGACTGGGCCAGGCTGAATCCAGGAACTTCCTCCAGGTCTCCCAAGTGAGTGCAGGCACCAAAGCACTTGGGCTTTGCTTTTCCAGCCACATTAACAAAGACATGTATTCGCGTTGGGGCAGTGAGGGCTGGAACTGGTACCCATGTGGAACGCTAGCACTGCAGACAGTGGCTTAACATGTTATGCCACAGAGCCAGCCTCTCAAGCCTTCATTTCTTAAAGGGATCAACAACCTTTCTGTAAATGGTCAGATAATAAATGCAAACAGAATGGTTTCTATTCCAGATATTCAACTTGGCAATTATGAAAAAGCAGCCACACACAATAAAAACATGGGAATGCCTGTGTCACAATAAAACTTTATGTACAAAAACAGCTCAAGGCCAGATTTGGCTGGTTGCCAGGCTTGCTGATCCCTGATCAAATTGTCAGAGATCATTGGGCAGATTAATGGCTCAACTAGATCAAGCTATTCTGACTCTTAGCCAAGAATTTTCTAACACGTTGTATTCTATGTTTGCTGGGTTTAAATGTGCCACCTAGTTTCCTTTACATATTAATAGAGAGCAAAAAAGAAAAACAGGCATATGGGATTTCATAAGCAAAAGAAGTTTAACACCTTCAAATTAAGGTTCTGTGAAGAAAAAAAAAACAGGACTCAAACTACAGACAAATGGAAAAGTTTAGTTGAGTGACAGCATTTGCTTGCGTCCCCCTAGTAATATAATCATTAATCATCTCTGGATTTGCATCTCTCATGGGTGCATAAACACTTAGTGAGTGATATTCATACTTCTGGGTTAATTCCCCAAGCATCCGAAGACAGCAGTCAGGTGGAATTTTCCTTTATTAGCTTTCCAAATGCATAGTTTTCATTACTAACAGATCTGACAAATTGAAAGAGGCAAAACAAGTTCAGAGAATCTCAGAGCCTCCCAGATGCCTGGGGGCTGCACCTGCAAGCGCTGTTCTGAACAAGCTGGCTGCTTCTGGCTCACAGCTCCCACTTCTCTTTCAGTGGCTGCATACCCAGATCCTCATTCCACAGAACAGGTATGCAATTCTTCCAGTTGTTTTTTCTTGAAACGAGATTCTTGTTTTTTTTTTAATCTTAGAATTATCTGCTTTTGTTGGGAATATTTATGAATATACACAGATATGCTAATGACTAGGAGTTTTAAGTATTTAAAAAAGGGCTAGCTTTTCATTCTTTTCAAAATTATTAATGAGAATTTCTATCAAATACTTTAGCAGAACTCAAAATACTTTTCAACTATATTCACTTTGCCTCACTGGTCTACATTTTTAAATTAAAACTCTTACTTCTTTAAACTATTTCTAGAAACCTGACTCATGAAAGAGTCTGCATACCTGTTCTCTGATGAGCACCGTGTTGCAGTATTCACAGACGACATTTGCCAAAGGACAGGTCTGGTCATGGATCTAAAGGTTAGCAGAGAATGATAAGCGCATGAAGTTAGAACAAGTCAAGTTTGTAACAACCATTTTTTCACTGTTATAAACTAAGAACATCAATTTCTACAAAGCAAAATGTGAAAATATATAAAGGATATTTTCTCTACTATTGCCAGTGATAATGATATTCATCCAACTTGCAAGCTCTTTAAATGAGTATGGTAGCATGTAAAAGAATTCTAGAAATCTTTTTGTTTCAACTTGAGACAGAGCAGCCATGACTAGCTTGGACATCATGTGCCAACACTACACTTCTCCAAAAGCAAACTTCTTGCAAAAATTTTCAGAGGCAGCATGAAAACTTAATACAATGACTTCAGTTTAGTTCATATACTGAGAAATAAGTAACCTTTCAGGTTAAGCCTGTCTAACTTACTGAAGCTAAGGAAGACATCAATTTGCTTTAATGATGACGGAGGCTTTTCTAAATTTTTGGCAAGTTAGCTGACTTTAAAAAGACATTCAGCATACATAATTTCATAAGAAAGTAGGAAAAATTACAGCAAATTTACAATAACAAATTTAAAGAAATAACAGTTATAAAAGAACATAAGTTATAAATTGATTTCTTTTTTTAGTAAAAGACATAGTATAGGAATCAAGGTTTAGCATTTCAGTGTTAGCTTTGCCACTGACAGTATTAATAGCCTAAAACCATCTAACCTCTCTGCATTTCAGTTCTAAATGCAGTACCTGCTCAGCCAAGATGAAGCTAGCAGGTGCCTTCATAAACTGTTAAGCTGAGGTCTTACCGAAAAGCGAGAATATCCTGCAGCACCAGGGAACACACTGCATGGGATTTCATTTGTTCCTCATAACAGTTGTAACAACCCATTTTCTTTTTCAACAGTTGTAACAACCCATTTTCTTTTTCAAAATAATTCTGTAGAAGTCTTACACTGTAACCATGCTAACTGGTTTGTCTTCAATCCAAGACTGGTCATTATATATCAAACAGCATGTGGCATATGCCTTTTGAGAAACTTCTGTTACTTGCAGATTTTTTGACAGCAGTAATTTACAATATAAATAATATTTCCTAACAAAGTATGTAAATCAAACTCGACACTTATGCACTGAAACGAGTTATTGACCTTTCTATTTTCAAAACCAGTTTCCCGAAAATTGGCAACATAGACTCACGAGTTGAAGTCATTTTTTTAAAGTAGTGGAATTAACAGATTCAAATTAATACATGCCTCTTTATCCTCGAATGCCATGGATACAGCACAATTTATACAAGAGACTTGTCTCCTGGGACAATCCTTGAGGATATGAGTGTTAAGCTGGCACTTCTGGAAGGGATGCTGGCACTGGGGACAATTCACAAGAGCAAATCCACAATGTGCTTCATGATCCTAGAGCAAGGAAAGAGTGGTTACTATTTGCCAACACTGAAGAAATCTTCCAGAGATAATCAGAATATCTTGCTTTTTATCTATAGAATTGGCAATTGAACCTCTTCTGCCTAGAACACACCACAGAAGCATTTATATTAAAAAGGAAGTAAATTCTGTATCCATCTAGGGAAGAGAAATGAAAAACACACATATTTCCTGATGACTAATTCCATACTATGTCAAAGGGACACCCCTCCAACAATAGGTGAAGAAAAGGGGCAAGTTACAAATCTGCCCTGAGCACTTAATTTTAAATAAAATATTAGTAACACCTAATTTCTGGCAAAAAAGAAAAAAAAATCACCAATGCAACAACTAATTTAATTTAAAAGCAAATTATATTACTTGGTTGATTATTTGATCTCAAACTAGAGGATCATGCTATTAGTAAAATGTATAACTTAGAAAAATATAGAAAAAATAGTAAGAATATGAAGATGGTGGCTATAGGGGACTTACTGCTTATTTCAAAATAAGAAAAACAGAATGGTGTAAGATGTGACACTATTTGAAAGGCTCCTAAGTTTCACTGATGTTAACGCATACTCTCTAAACCCGCAGAAGGACAGGGCTTCCCATTTTATTACTCTTAGGGCAAAGCCAGCATGATGGCAGGAAAAATTCTTGCTTCTACTTATATTTCCATGCAATGATTATGCTATTTACCATTTCAGCTAGAATTAACTAGCCAACCATATCTTAGAAGCAAACACATCAGATGAACCAACCAAGTCCCTATTCTCCAAGAATCACCTTTCAGACACACCAACAGTTAGAGAATGGCTTCAATACCTCCAGATGCCTGAGTTCCATCTTGTGTAAACAGCCTGCATTTGGACACCTCACCGTCAGAGAAAGAATCTCTCGCTTTGCAAAATTGTCAGGAAACAGCTGATTTTCCAACAATATTTCATTGTCAACTGGACATTTGTGACCTGCATCCCTAAGACAAACACAAGTAGATTTCAAAATACACATTTGAAAATTCAAACTTTAACTCACCACATATAAATTCTCAATTATTATTTTCTGTAGAAAAATAATTTAACAAACAATACCGAAGTAAGTTGTCCTTCTGTGGGTAAATTATGAATTATTATCTTATTAAATGAATAAAAGTAACATTATGCTGCCCATGCAACTGTAAGGTTTCAGCTTGGGGGACAGAGTCAGCTAAAGAAAATGAAAGAAAAAAAAGAAAAAAAGAAAAATTTTATTTTGATTGGAATCATGTGAGGTGAAAGTTAAGAAGGTGAATTCTGACCGTTTGGCTGGCCCAGCCCTATACAATGCACGAATTAAATGGGATGTATTGCTGAAATACCAGTAACCTATTCACAACAACTGTACTGCCATCACTCCGTTTTTAGGCAGTTAACAGTATTCACAAAAGGCTACATTTTAGTTTATACTGATTTAGCCACTACAACACTGCATTACTGGGTGACAAAGCCTTCCCTTGATTAATATTCCTAGGGTGCAATGTGTCTTTCTTGTTTCCAGTGGTTTTTGTGTCTTATGACGGAAAATCATCCTCAGGAAACTGGGGGTGTGTCATTCTCTTTTGACTTTTTGGGAACTCTCAGCCTTCAGTCACAAAATGTGAGGGTTAAGTAGAAAACAAGAGCCTTCAGGAACCCCACAACATTTGTTGGGTATCTCTGTACTCTACAGCTGCCACATTAAGTGAAAGGGTATCTAAAACATGGAATCTGCCCCAAATGGCTCGGAAGCAGCAAATGTGAGGGACACAGGTGGTGTCCATGGTGCTTTACTCAAACTGAACAATGTTACCATGTTGTCAAATACTCTCTAATAAGCATAGAAAGCCGTAACACATTTATTGAGATATTTGCCCCAAACCTAAAGTGATGTATGTTTCAGAAATTTACCAAGAAAATGGAAAAAACAAAACAAACAAACAACTATTATCCACAATGTTACCGCTCACTCCAGAAGAAAATGAAATTGCACTGAGATGAATTTTGATCCCTTAAATGATTACAGTCAATAAGAAATTTAAGAAAAGTTTCTGTAAGAATCATAAAGTAACAGCTCACTTCTAGCTTAGAGGGAGATTTAAAATAATAATAATAATAATAATTTAAAAAAAGCCTCAGACTTCCTTTTGTGGGTTTTACTTCCTTTTCAGACCCCTGCCCACTACTTTCATATTAAACACTGACAGTGGGGTGAAGTTTTACTGAAGTAGCCAAGATGCTGCTGCATCAGGGTACCTGGGTTCCAGTCCCAGCTCTGCTTCCTGAGCTCTGCTCAGTGCCCTGGGTGGCAGCTCAGATGGTTTGGTATCTGCCAGCCACTTGGCAGAGCTGGACTGAGCACCAGGTTCCTGGCTTGTGCCTGGATCAGTTCCAGCTACCATGACATTTTGGGAGTGAAGCAAATGGCAGATCTCTTGCAAGCAAATAAATAATATTTTAAAGATTGCTGGAGGTTAGCTACCTTCCTGGGCGTGGGTGACAATCAATGATCCAAAATACGGTGTGATTTGTACCTAAATACAACATAAATAAAAATCATTACAAACAGGAAAAAAGCAGTGTTCAACACTACTCTCATGAACATCCTAAACCAGTTTTCTCAACCAGGGCCAAGCGGATTCCAGTGGACAGAGCTGGGCTGCACACCTGGACAGGGAGATGATTACCGGCAATGGGTAAACATGGGTCAGACATGTTGCCAAGGTCTGTACAACGCACAGCACATTCTTCTGCAACAAAACATTATCTTGTGCCAAATAACTGCAAATCTTGAGGAAAATTATCCTACCTATATCTTCTTAATTCAACACTGGATGTGAAACAAGAGATATGTTGATATATTTACCTGTAACTCATATTAAGTCAAATTCCAAGTACAGACCGTTAACCTAATTTCAAGTTTCATAGAAAAGGTAACATAAAAGTTGAGAGATTAAAAACTTAAGAGATCAGGCCACTTTTGCAGTACAGTGAGTTCTGATTCCAGCATCTTGGAATGCTGGTTCAGGTCTCAGCAGCCCCACTTCGGGGCCTCCAACTCCCTGATCACATGTCGGAAAGCTCAGCAGAAGATGGCGTAAGCCCTTGGGTCCCTGCCACCGATGAAGGAGATGTTGACAGAGTTCAGGCTGCTGGCTTCAGCTTGGCCGAACCGTGACTGTCGCAGCTATTTAGGGAGTGAATCATCAATCAGAAAATTGTCACTCTCCTTCTCTGTCACTCTACCTTTCAAATAAATAATGAAAAATAATACCTAGAAGCTCAATGAATAACTAGACAATCCAACCACTAGAAAAATGATTACATCAGGCTAACTACATGGCTATTTAGTGAGCAATACACATGTACCTTCCTTTCTATATATTTTTGCCCTGTAATACTCCCATTTGCCTCTTAATTATAGTATAATGTATCTGTTTCTTAGGTGGCAAGGAAGTGTAATCACTTGTGGAAATGTTATGTATTTTTATTTATGACTTACTGTGGGTCAAGTGCATTTTCAATATCTGAGAAATGTCAAATAAAATAGATCCAAACTTTTGCTCTTAAGGAGCTTATCTTCTGGTGGTGTGGGTACATACAAACATACAAATTCCCTGGTGTTTCAGAACGCAGAGTGCTAAGGGGAAGTGACAAGTGGAGTACGATAAGGGAAACTGAGGGTGGCGAGGGCTGGGGGCATGCTGTGATACAGACAGGTGGTCGGCGAACCAGGAGAAGGTGACAATTTTCTGAGCAGAGAGGACAGTGCCAGGCTCTCACACGGGCAGCAACGTGCATGACATGTTCAAGTGACAGCAAAGAGGGAGTAGATGAAAAAAACAAGGCGAGGAGAAGTGAAGTCAGAAAACAAATCATAGGTTTATCACACGGGCCCTTCTAAGGACTTTGGCTTTTACTCCCAGAAATCCCCCGCCCAGGCTTGTTCTGGCTGCTGTAAAGACAAGACCGGAAGTCAGGAGTAGGAGGGAAATCTGTGAGAGGTGATGTTGAGTCCTATGAAGGTGGTACAGCAGGATTGAAAAGGATTGGATTATGTACATTTTATAAAAGTAAAGCCTTTAGTTATATTTTTGTTAAAAAGATACTGATTATTTTACAATTTCTTACAGATATCAGGCGATAAAACATAACAGTTAAAATCAAAATAGGTGATCTTTTACAGGGACTGACATAGTGGTACAGGGTTAAGCTAATGCCAGTAACAGGAGCATGCCATATGGGCTCGAGTTTGTCACCTGGCTTCTGACCCACGGCCCTGCCTGACGCACTTGCAAAAACAGAAGACGGCCACTGCACCCACATTGGAGACTGGGACGAAGTGTCAGGTCACGGCTTCAGGCTGGACCAGCCCCAATGAATGAAGTAGTGCATGGACGATTGCTGTCCCGCCTACTCTAATTCTGCCTTTCAAATAAATAATCATTCAAAAAAAACAAAAAGGCGATCATTCACAAAATTAGCATTTTCTGTATGGCTGAGATCACCGCAGAAGCATCTAGAAGCATCATCCATTAAGATGCATTTTAAAATACTAGTTTTTCAAAGCACAGAATCATATCTGTCTTCACCAGGACTGCTTTAAGTGAAGATGGCTATTTATGTTTTCATTTATTGAGGTCCATGGAAGGAAAAGACACAGAAGTTACCTTTTATGATACAACAGGAATTGGATAAAAGTTTACTCAATGTTTTGTCCCATGTTTTTGTTCTCCTGGCAGCTTTTCACTTAGGAAACTATGCAGGGAGTGCCCTGTGCTTACGCAGCCATGGCTCCGGTACAGGACACGTTCATACCTTATTGATTTGATGATGCAGGCCTTGCAGAACCTATGACCGCATGGTGTCTGCACAGCTTCCCGTAATGCCATTAAGCAGATCGGGCATTCGTACTTGCTTTCCAGGGGCGGGTCAAACTCCACATCATAACCCTGGATACCTTTCATATATGAGCCAGAGAGGTTCCCTGTGCTGGCAGTCCCACTCATACTGTCCTCCTTCGTCGTCGCACTACATGAGCTGGCCATGGCAGCACAGCAGTCACTGTCGGACTGGCCAGATCCACAGCTGTTTTCACAGTTTAGCAGACTCATAATAACTTGATTATCCCACTGCTCTGTAAAAATAAGAAGAAAAGGGCCTCAGCATACATGTACCTTCATACACACACACACAATTTACCTATGTGAGTCATTAAGCCAACTTTTCTATTACACCATCAGCTGTTACGTCCTTCACAGAAAACATCAAACATGGCCTGAACTCTGCTTCCTAAGTGTTATTTTTCTAACAAGTTACTTGATTCCATCCTGCAATAAATATTACCAAAAGCATTTACGTCAAGCATCAGGAACATGCAAATATGGCCATGTCCTTTAAGGAGTTCATGATCCAGTAGAACCGCAGAATAGATGATTAAATAGATGATTATTTCAGTTGTAATGTTCATCCAGATCATAATCATACTTGTTTGTTTCTTGTGACTTAGACCAGGAATTCAATTCTCATTTCCAAACCTTCAGTAATTGGCACAAGACTTTTTATCTTGTAAGTTTCCATCAAGCATTTGCTGAAGAACTTGATCATGGTAATGATATTCTTTCAAAGATTCTGAGCTGAAGTGCTAGCCAGAGAGCAGGCAGAGTTAGGAAGAACAGAGAATAAGGAATCAGGAGATTACAACCAGATGTGTGATGCCGGGCAGGTTACTTTATCATTTGGACCTTGAGTTTTCCTCCTAGCTGTGAAATTCTCTGAGGACTTGCAAATTCTCAGTATAGGGATTTCCACTACACAGAAAGAGTGGAACTGAGAAAGGGTATCTTAATGTCCTACATTCAGTCAGGTCAATCAAATGACTGTGTTTCACTATTAATGACTGGAAAAACAAGTGAGGTTTTGTCTGTCTATGGAAAGCCATGGCTTCTTGAACAGATGGATGTCTTCAAATCCTGAACTGTCAAGGCTCTCCCAACTGAGAAACTAACATCCAAAATCAACTCACAGCCCATGTAACCATGCCTCTGGAATTTCCTAATGTGCCAGACACAGTTCTAGAAACAATGCAGGGCTCCAGGTAATACAACAGGCAGGTGTCTTTTTCTTGTTTATATAAAAATTCTAGATTCTACTTCTCCAAATTGAGTATTCAGTAGTCCCCATTTGTTTCTTCATCATGAAAAATGTCCTTTTAACCTCCACGAGAATTTGAGTACCATCTCATTGGAGGAATGCCTCCCAAGTGCCAGCTCTTCTGGCCCTGACAGGGCACAGCGCTGAGATGCCACACCAACATGAGCCAATTATCTGCCATCCCGTAAAGTGCGACTTGGGCAAGTTGTAAGAGGGACACCGGAAAAGGCTGGTGGAAAGCTGAATTAAAGGATAAGCTTACTTTGGTGAATGTTTTGAAGATCCTCTTGTATAACATTTCCATCCTCAATTATAAAATATTGAACCCACCTGGCAGCTACTGAAAGGATTAAATTAATTAAGCAATTACTGTCTGCCAGTAAGAGCATGGTGGTACTATTATGCAGCTGTGTGTGGCATTTAACAGCTTTATGGATCCCACTTACAATAAAGTAGAAATCGCAGACCTGAACTTGCCCAATCATCCAACTAGGAAGTAGCCAAGTTGCCACCAGGACCCAAGGCCACCAGATCCTAGAACAGCAGGTACTTTGAACTATGCTGTCTTTTGATGAATGTGTACCCATGAAGAAGCATTTAAACTATCCTTCCCTTCATTCATCTGAGGCTAAGGTACTGCTCACAGTATTCTGTGTGACCACACGTGCATACCCAGCACTGCACTGACAGATCCAACAAAAACCACCACCTGCTAAAGCAGACACACACACTACCACTACGACAACAAACAACAAATACTTCTTGGTATTTTGTTTTTCTTGTTCAGTTCTGACACATTTTTGAAAAGTTAAAAACAGTTCCTCAAACCTTGCTATTTCTAATGCGGCCTCCTGTGGAAGGCTTATACAAATAAAAGAAATGAACAAATGGCCTAAGACAGGGGCAAACATTTTGCGCCCTAAAACAGTGAACAGGACCCCCTGTACACTAGCAAATGAACTTATTATGCTACACTAGGGTTTATATTTGTTTCTTTCCTTCCATACAGATTGTGTCCAATTATTTCCTTAGGTAAACTTCCTAGAATTCTTAGCTCAAAGAATTAATCTTATAAGCCCTCTGATGGATAATACTAGCTATGCTTTTTAATTTTCATTCCTGCAAACACAGCATATACACAGCATATAAACACAGCATATAAAAATTTTCCATATTTTTTAAAGATTTATTTATATTTATTGCAAAGGCAGATGTACAGAGAGGAGAAGAGACAGAGAGGAAGATTTTCGGTTCGAAAATTCACTCCCTAAGTACCGCAAAGGCCAGTGCTGAACTGATCCAAAACCAGACGCCTGGAGCCTCTTTTTCAGGCCTCCCACGTAGGTGCAGGGTCCCAGGCTTTGGGCCGTCCTTGACTGCTTTCCCAGGCCGTAAGCAAGGAGCTGGATGGGAAGTGGCGTCACCGGGATTAGAACTAGCATTCATATGGGATCCTGGCACATTCAAAGCGAGGACTTTAGCTGCTAGGTTATCGCGCCGGACCCAACATTTTCCATATTCTCGACAACATTCAGTACATTTGAGTATTTTTGTAAAGCAAAATCACTTTTGTGGCCTGGTGCCAGGATGTAACAGGCTAAGCCTCTTTGGTGGTGCCAGCATCCCAAATGGGCTCTAGTCCAAGTCCCACCTGTTCCACTTCTGGGCCAGCTCTCTGTTGTGCCCTGGAAGGCCAGGGAAAGCTAGTTCACGTCCATGGGCCTGTACATCCAGACGCTGCAGGAAGCTCCAAGTTCCTGGCTTCGGACTGGCCCAGCTCTGGCTGTTGGCAGCCATTTGGGGAGTGAAGCTGTGGATGGAAGAGCTTTCTGTCTCTCCTTATCTCTCTGTAACTCTGCCTTTCAAATTAAAATTAATAAATCTTTGAAAAAAAAAATCACTTTTGAGAAATTACCATTTGTTATTTGGTTGTATGGCACATATCAGAGTGCTATCCAGAAAACAAAATGACCAACCTATGTCTATTTTTCCTGCCCAAACATCCAGCTTAAAAATCAGTTGAATTGGCTAGTCAAAGTGCTATTCCCTTCCTACTCAGTTCAAAAAGTTTGAAGGTCTTTGGTTTGAGAAAATCTTTTACAACTACTGTGTTTCTAAGAAAACTTGTCTCATCAGTCACAGTCCCTCAAGAGGAACTCCACTGTGGGAGGGCAACACAGCAAGCCAGGCGACTCTGCTTCACACTGCTTTCCCTGCTTTAGCTACGCCTTCGCAGGCAGCTACCCTCTAAGCCTGCAAGAGGCCCGTGTAACTACACTGCCAAAGGGAAATTACGCTAGGCATTCTTTTGAGTGCCATTTAGTATTTTTATGTTTGCCTTTTCTCTTTGACAAGTGACAACATTCCTTCCCTTTATTTTTATGGTTCACAATGAGTTAAGTATATCATTCTTCTAATTTAACTGTCATGAAGAGCCATTTTCATTAACACTTAACAAAAGGGCTCTGAGCCAACTACAGAAGGGAAAGAACATTTTCTGGGAGCAGTGAGAAGATGCAGGGCTCCAGGGGGGCCCTTGTCACCCCAACGCTGTGGAGAGGCATCCACCCGACCAAGGGCTACAGAAGCAGGCTGGGGATGGCGCTGCAGCTTTGCATGAGCTAAACTACGAGACTAGTGACTTTTGGAAAGTAAAAAGTTCTTATAGCTCAGGTGCCGATTCTTACACACAGTCTCAATGCTTTGCAAGTTTTGGCAAAATCTTTTCTCCTTGTTAGTGTGGCTTTCCACATGAATTAGTAAGGATGAAACAAAATCATTCCTTGTAGGCTGAGAGCTTCAAGACTGCAACTGCTTGTGCAGTCCTGACTCCAGTATGTAAGCACTGATTAAACACACACCGTGGGATGTTAACTAACAAATCATTTTGATGGCCAAATGAATATGGAAAATGGCCTTGCATAAATTCCAGCTGCAGTCAACACATTAGTATCTGTGGGTAAATGACAATCCAAGACTATTGCTGAACGTCTTGAGGCCGGGGAGGCGGCTAGAGCAATTCACAGAATCTTTTTCCTCTAAGATAAGCCTAAATTAATGAGACAAATGTGCCAAGCTAAAGAAATCAACAGCTTACGTCTGAATCAGTCGCTATTAAATCTTCTAAAATTCATACACGAACAAGCACACAACTCACATTTAGTGAAAACATGTCAAAGGAAATACAGAGAAATTGCATTTCCTTCGCCAGTGGCTTGAGGAGTAGGAAATATTGACCAATCGCTTAAGCTCTATTCCCAGCATGCAAAGAACTGCAAATGTGCTGCAATGGCCAGGAGCTGCCTCAAACTATCCAGCGCGTGCATCTAAACTCCAGGGGCATCTCCCTTCCCACATGTTATCTGTCATCTCCCGGGAGGCAAAGATTCCAGCAGATTTTTTCAAAATCCGGATGCAACTGAGCAGTACTGCACACCCAAAGCTGGCAGAAGCCCCTCCACCGTAGGATCCTGAAAGCTGCCAAGCACGTGACGTCGGCCGGAGGGTGACTCCCGCCCTCAGGCATGCACCCATCTGGCGGGCAGCTAGGGACAGCAGGAGCCAGCCGGAGACACACTCAAGAGGCCACACACCATCCCCTCCCACCTTGCCCAGCGCTCAAGGAGAGGAGCAGATGCCGTAGTCAACACTTAGAATTTCTTTACAAGTATTTCTAGTTTCTAGACCTGTGTAACAGGACGTCTGTTTAAGTAATCTGCTCTCCCGAGAAACCAAAGCAACAAACACTGCACATCCAAGCCGCTAATGCTTTCGGTGCTTTCATTTCACACTCAGGACAGTCCTAACTCTCGCCTGGAGTTCCCCCTTGAGCCAAATACTAGGAACAGCTTTATCAACACCGCATCTGGAACAATCGCCAGAAGCAACTGGGGCAGGGGCGGGGAGGAAACATTCGTGTCATTTGAATATTGAAAAAAAAAAAAAACGCTGCCTGAGACCGCTGTCAAGTTCAACACGGAACCCCAAAAATAGCCTTCCATGACAATGAGAGACGGAGCTAGAGGGAACTTATAGGGATTTTTTTTTCCCTAAAAGTTTACGTTGGCCATAACTGACAGACGGGAAAACCCAGCAGGCAATTTCCTTTGCAGTAAAGTGAAAAACGTAAGGTGCCGGGAGGGCGCGGGGTTTCCTCCTGAGGATTAGGGCGAGCAGGGGCAGGTGGCTCAGGGGCCCGGGGAGGAGTGACCCCCCCCTAGGAAAGCAAAGGCACAAGGAGCTGGGGTCCCAGGCCGCGGGCAGCGAGGGGATCAGGGGCCGAGTCATTCCTCCTGGACCACGGGCAGCGAGGGGACCAAGGACTGAGGTCCTTCCTGGGCTGCGAGGGGACCAGGGGCTGACGTCCCGAGCCACGAACAGCGAGAGGACCAAGGGGCTGAGGTCCCGGGTCATGGACAGTGAGAGGGGCAGGGGCTGAGATCCTTCCTGGGCAGCGAGGGGACCAAGGGCTGAAGTCCCGGGCAGCGAGGGGACCAGGGGCTGAGGTCCTGGACTGCGGGCAGCGAGGGGACCAGGGGCTGAGGTCCTTCCCGGGCCGAGGAGGGGAGACGCACCTGCAGGACGCGAAGGAGCGCGGGCGACGCCCGGGATGCGAAGGGACAGGAGGCGGCGTTCTCCAGCCGCGCAAAGCCAGGGCACCGGGGCGATGTCTCCACCGGCGAGAAGCGGGAGGCCTCCGCCGCGGGGAGCAGGCGACCGAGGCCAAATGACCTCTCAAGTGTGTTAGGCCGCGCCACAAAGCCAGCGGAGCTCCCCGCGGCCCCGCTCAGCCACGACGCCGGGAGAGGACGGACTCCGTGCTCCAGCGGCCAATCCTCCAGCCCGGGAGCCTTGCCGCAGTGTCCGCGGGCCGCAGGGACCCAGAACGCCGCGGCCGCCTCTGCTTCCGCCTTCTCCACTGGCCCGGGGCCGGGAGGGGCAGCGGAGCGCGGGTAGGAGACAGAGAGGCCGAGTCGGCCCAGAGCGCCCCCTGGCGTCGGTCCTCCGGGACGAGCCTCCGCGCAGGTGCAGGCGCATCCGTCAGGTGGATGTGCTGGTCAACCCCACGTGCTCGGGATTGACTGCCCAGGTTGTCGGGCGTCCCGCGCGGAAAGACTAAACTCGTTTGCGTGTGTGTGAAGCCTCTGTTGGTCTGTGTGATTGTGTGTCTGTGAATTTCTGTATATATGCTTATGTGAGTGTGTGAGGGGTTGTGTGTGAGTGGTATGTCCTTGTGTCGGTGTGATTGTGGGTTTTCTGTGTTTCCATGTGTGTGGTTGTGTGTGTGCATCTGTGTATGTTTATTTGAGAGTGTGAAGCTATGTGTGTAAGTTTGTAGTATGCCTTCTTTGTATGTAGAAATGTGTGTTGTCTCTGTGTATGTGTATAAGCCTCTGTGTGTCTGTGAAACTTGGTGTTTATGTGAGTGTGTGACGGGTTGTGGGTAAATGTAAGCTTGTGAGTGTATGTATTCTGTGCGTGTGTTCTCTGTGTGTGTAAGCCTCTGTGTGTCTGTGAATTGGTGCATGTGTTTATATGACTGTGAGAGGGTTGGTGTGTATAAGTGTGTGCGTGAGTTGTGAGCATGCACCTCAATGTGTGTGTGCGTGTGTGTGTGTAAGCCTCTGTGTTGATTTTTGTGACTGTGTGTCTGAATCTGTGTGTGGTAGTGTGTTGCAGGGGTTTTGTGGTTGAGACTGTGAGTGGGTGTCTGTGAGTTTGTGAGTGATACATCTTCTCACTCTGTGTGCCTGTGTGTGAGTGTGCCTGTGTGTGAGTGTGCCTGTGTGTGAGAGTGCATATGTGTGAGTGTGCATGTGTGTGCCTGTGTGTCAGCGTGCCTGTGTGTGAGTGTCCATGTGTGTGCCTGTGTGTGAGTGTGCCTTGTGTGAGTGTGCATGTGTGTGCATATGTGTGAGTGTGCCTGTGTGTGAGTGTGCATGTGTGTGTGCCTGTGTGTGAGTGTGTGAGTGTGCATTGTGTGTGAGTGTGCCTGTGTGTGTGCCTGTGTGTGAGTGTGCCTGTGTGTGTGCCTGTGTGTGAGTGTGCCTGTGTGTGCATGTGTGTGCGTGTGTGAGTGTGCCTGTGTGTGCCTGTGCATGTGTGTGCGTGTGTGTGCCTGTGTGTGAGTGTGTGAGTGTGCCTGTGTGTGAGTGTGCATGTGTGTGAGTGTG